TTTTTTTTTTTTGAGACAGAGTCTCACTATGTCATCCTGTAGAGTGCTGTGGTGTCACAGCTCATAGCAACTGCAAACTCTTGGGCTTAAGTGATTCTCTTGCCTCAGCCTCCGAAATATCTGGGATTACAGGCACCCACCACAATGCCCGGGTATTTTTTACTGTAGTTATTGTTTAGTAGGCCCGGGCCAGGTTCGAATCCGCCAGCCTGGGTGAATGTGGCTGGTGCCTAATAACTGAGCTGTGGGAGCCGAGTCTAAGCTCCATTTAGGTTAGGGATCTTTTCTGTGTGGCTCTATCTTCAGTGTGCAGAAGGAACTAAATTAATATTTGTTATGGTGTGAAAAGTATCTGGTTCATAAAGAAGATGGGAAGATTATAGAGCACAAAGTATCTAACACATAGTAAATGTTTCAGAAATGTAGCCTAAGGCTGGTCTGTGGTGGTTAACACCTGTAATCCTAGCACTCTTGGAGGCCAAGGCAGATGGATTGCCTACCTTCAGGAGTCGGAGACCAGCCTGACTAACCTGAGCAAGAGTAAGACCCATCTCTAAAAATGGCTCGGCACTGTGGCAAGCACCTGTAGTCCCAGCTATTTGGGAGGCTGAGATAAGAGAATCGCTTAAGCCTAAGAGTTGGAGATTGCTGTGAGCTATGACTCCACAGCACCCTACTGGGGGCAACAAATGAGACTCTGTCTCAAAAAAGAAAAAAGAAAAAAAGAAAGGTAGCTTATAATCACTGTTTATCTTTATTCTTTAATGTAATTTGTGTTTTTTACCCAAAGAATTCTTTAATCTCATTTAATCCAATTTATAACCTTTGATCCTACTTTAGGTGCTCCAGAGGCTGGTGGACCTGAGCGGAGGCTGGGACGCCCTGGTGGGCCCCGGGCCCTGGAAGGCGGGTCCCGGTGGCCGGTGGCCCAGAATGAGGCCAGCTCCCAGCATGCCCTGCAGCCGGACGCCAGCCCCTCGGCCAGCAGCAGTGGTGATAACGACCCAGTCATTCTTCAGGCATCCAACAAGGAGCCTGGGAGTGGGACCATGCAGAGCAGCCCCTCCCCTGCTCACCCTCAGCTCCCAATCCTACAGACACAGGTTTACATGTGGGGAGGGTTTCTTCTCTGCTTCTTGTGAATGTTAGGTCTGAGGTGAAAGAAGTGTGGCAGTTTCTTGCTATTGGGTAGGTGAGTGTGGAGAATTATTGGTACTTATGTGGGCTGGACTGTACTATGTCATGCCCATTGAATACTGACATTTCATTTGATATTAATGTAATGTTGCTTTCCAAGAGTACAAAGACTTCTTATTACCTGAAAAAGGTTGAGTGAGGCCAAGTTGGAAATGGAGGTTGGGGCAACATGCTGATAAGACTGTATGTTTGACAGTAGTTTAACTTC